TGGGACCCCTGTGGGCTCCTCTGCTGAAAAGCCAGGAAGTGGGAGCAGACAAGTCACATAGAGAAGGGCTACTTCGGATATCATTCTCAGAGTCAGCAGCCACTCGGCCAGCAGTGGGGGCTTACTTTTCATGTGGGCACCCAGTCACTGGTACCATAAGTGCCCCTACATTGAATGTGGTTATGGAAAGGTGTGGATGGCAGAAAGCCAGGCCCATAAGCAAAGTCCTGCTAAAGTAACGGTCCCTGTGCAGAAAAATTGAACTGAGGCAACAGGCCTGGTGGATTCAGGGTGTGAGCAGACCCTAGTCCAGGACAAGTTGGTCCCAAACTCTGAGGCTCCAGGGAGACTGTCTTCCTGTAGTATATCCATGGAGGTGCTCAACCCTATTCTAGTGCACATGTTCAGCTGACTGTAAGGGAAACCATGAAGTTCCATGTAGTGGGGCTGGCCTTGACACTAGCCTACCCCATTATCTTGGATTGGGCTTGAGTGTATTCCTCTGTGGTACTTAAGGGGTTTAAACCAACTCCTGAGACCCCAGAGGGAGTATCAGAGGGACCCTGGGAGACAGGAGCCCAAAACCTGCGACATTGGCAGGTGTAGGTGAGGCGCTGAATCCTGGAGAGGGTGGGAGCTGGTCAAAGGGAAGCTCCTCCAGAAGGAGTTCATAACAATGAATCAATATTGGCCCTACCAAGGGAGAGGGACATTCTAACCGGAGACAGATTTCACAGTGGACCATACAGAGGTTGAAACCTTGAGCCGGGCTTAAGACCAACTGCCAGTGGTTAATTGTGAAGTGATAGTTCCACAGAGAGGAGAGCCTGGTTTGAACTCCAGGAAGAACTACCACCAGCTGGAGACAGACTAGCTGATGGGGGAAAGTTCAGTTGCAACTCCTCATTCCAAGGCCTCATGGGTGCAAAGTCAAGCAACTAGCTCATGCTATCCCCTTTGCGGCTCACCTCAGTCATGAGAAGATCCTGGCCAGGATTTTGGATCACTTCTTTTTGCCCAGAATTCACCAAGAAATTAAAGACTTTTGCAGCTCCTGCCCCAAATGCCAACTTGTAGGACCTAAAAGGGGGACAAATCCACTCTGGTCCCCCTTCCTGTAGTCGACATCCCCTTTTAAAGGATTGGGATGGACCTCATCAGACCCTTGGAAAAATGTGCAGCTGGGTATAAATACATATTAGTTATAGTTTAATTATGCTACCCACTATGCTGAGGCAATCCCATTGCACAACAGCAATGCAAAGACTATTACTGCAGAACTGCTAAAAGTCTTTGCCAGAATAGGGGTACCTAAGGAGATCCTCATGGATCAAAGCACCAACTTTACATGTTGGCTGCTGAAACAAGTATGTAATCTTCAAAAATAAACATTTTACATACATCTGTCTGTCATTCACAAATGGATGGTTTGGTTGAATGATTCAACCAGACCCTAAAAAAAAATGTTCATTGCTGAGGACCTTCGTCACTGGGATCAGCTTATCCCTCCCCTGTTGTTTGCTATTCGAGAAGTCCCCCAATCATCTACAGGGTTCTCCCCATTTGAACTCCCATATAGGAATTAACTCTGGGGGATTCTTGATCTGGTCTATGAGAGGGACAGGCTCCTAGGATGAAGAATCTTATACAGTATGTACTGAAATTCCAGGAATGGCTTGAAACCCTTTCTTTGCCAAAGAAAACCACCTCAGTCGTCAATGGACCCAGGATCGCAACTATAACAAAGGGGTGCGTATGTGCATATGTAAGCCGGGTGATCAGGTTCTACTTTTGCTCCCAAGTACAGAGTCCAAGTTACTTGTTAATTGGCAAGGACCATATGAAGTAGTATGCGAAGTTTGGCCAGTTAATTATTAAATCAGACAGCCCAACAAGAGGAAACTCACTCAGGTTTACCATGTTAATCTTCTGAAGCCCTGGAAGGAATGAGGGACTTTATTTTATTGCTCTTTATCCCCCTGAGCCAGAACTGGGGCCCTAAGTGCCCACGTCACTGGAGCCACACCCTATACAGATGGGTGGACACCTCTGCCCAGAACAGAGGGTCCAGGAGAAAAGCCTAGTAAAAGCCTTCTCGACAGAGTTGGTCTCCTGACCAGAGCAGATTCATCTTGTGCACCATCATATCCAAATGGAATCTGGGCAACTTGTCGAGGAGAATCTATGGTCACGTCCCCCCGCAAAATGTGGGAGGCTGTGAGGCAAGAGGTCCAGGCGATGCTGGAGCTAGGGGTCATTGAAGAATCCTGCAGCGAATGGCAAAGCCTGGTCATATTGGTCCCAAAGCTGGATAGCACATCTGGTTTTGCATAGACTTCAAAAAGGTCAATGCTGTTTCCAAATTTGATGCTACCCCATGCTCTGAGTAGAGAAACTATTAGACCAGCTGGATGAGGCCTGATATATAGCCATGTTAGACCTAATGAAGGGCTATTGGCAGATTGCATTCACACCAGAATCACAGGAGAAAACTGCCTTTGCCACACGCTTTGGCCTGTATGAATTTAGAACTATGGCTTTGGCTTCCACAGTGCCCCAGCAATGTTCCAGTGGCTCATCAATCAGGTTCTTCAACCACATGGCTCATATGCAGCAGCCTGTTTACATGATGTGGTCACCTACAGCTGAGATTGGGAGGAACATTTAGCACAAGTAACTAAAGGACTTCAGTCTCTATGAGGGACTGGACTAACTGCAAACCCAGTAAAGTGCAAGATTGGGAAAGAAGAGACCACCTACATGGGATATACTTTGGAGAAAGGCCAGGTCTGACCCCTCATGTCCAGGCCCTCAAAGCATGCCAATGCCAGCCACGAAGAAGCAAGTTGGAAGGTTTTTGAGGCTCACAGGCTACTACCACTAATTTGTGCCAGGGTTTTTGATGATAGCAGAAAAAAAAAATCTAATTAAGGACAGTAGCCCCGCTTGCGTAGAGAGCCTGTCCAGCTCTGTTCCAGCTTCTCAAAAGATTTCATTTTACAAACCAATGCCTCAGAATTGGGACTGGGTGCAGTATGGTCCCAGGAAACAAATAGAGAGGAACACTTGGTACTCTATTTAAGCTGCAACTGTTCCCTCGGGAGCAGTCATATTCCACCATAGAAATGGATGGACTTACCGTGGAATTTCTCCAATAATACCTCTTGGGAAATCCGTTCAGGCTTATGTACTGGTACTTGTCCTTTCAGCTGTACGCTTTCCCAATTCAGTATAGAGAGGAAAAAGTTCACCAAAATGCAGATTTTTTTTCCCAGGAAGAGACAGTCTACTGCTGAAGCAGAGCAACCAGTGGGAACAGACTCCAGTGGAGAGAGAAATCTGCCATGCCACACCCGGCCAGGAGCAGGCACCAGTGGTGAGCTGAACCTTTCACAGTCTCCCACTGCCCAGGTGAGTGTTCTGATGACAGAGTTGCTTGGGGGTGGGGTTTCCATCTGCTCCCCTTGCCCCAGTTTTGATCAAGATTTCTCTCTTGCACCTGAGAATCCTTTCCTAATGAAAGTATTGTTGAAACTGATACACTCCCCTGAAGAGTTTCAGTTTTGACAAATAGGCATTTTGTGACAAAAAAAATTTTTGTAAGAAAGTTTTAAATATTAACTGTTTCTAAATATTAACTGGACATTAAAGCTTATATGTAGATCTGCAAATTGTTGATTTGTCTTATGAACTCTATAGATCTTTTCATTGTTGGCCAGCAGACAGTCAAGCAAGTTTGATAACTGTTGGGTCCTTTAACCTCTAAAGCTCCAATGCTGTGCTTGATTTGAGGATGAAACTTTTAGCTTCCATTTAAAATGCATAAAATAATGAGTCTTAGGCTATGTCTACACTACCACTTATGTTGATATAACTTATGTCACTTAGGAGTGTGAATAAACTGCCATAGTGACTATTGTTCTTCGGGGGTGGATTTATTATGTTGATGGGAGAGCTCTCTTCTGTTGTCTTAGATTGGCTCCAATAATAACCATAGCCTGAGTTCATGAATGTAATTGTAATGTTTAAATGTACATTATTCATGGGAGGAGCACTCTGTAAACATCCACAGAGCCCCTATGGGTAAAATTTTCAAAAGTCCTTAGGCCAGATTTTCAAAGGTATTTAAGCTCATAATAGGAGTTAGGCGCTGAACCTGTTTAGCTGCTTTTGAAAATGCCACTTGGAGCTTATCTGCATCTTTAGGCACCTAAATACCTTTGAAAAATTCTCCCTAAGTGACTTAGGTGCCATTGACTTTCCATAGGACTTAGGCACCTTTGAAAATTTTACCTTACATCATCTTCCTACAGATCTCTCCTTAGTACTCACCTGTGTCAATATATGTACCAAATACTTGATAATGACTGAGCAGCAAGGCCCGCATCCTACTTACGCATGGGCTTAGCTTTATGCAATGTGAGTAGTCCTACTGAACTCAAAAGTTTAGTGAAGTATGTGTGTAAGTCTTTGTAGGATCAAGGCTTTCATGTGTAGAGACTACTTATTAAACTAATAATAGTCTCACTGTTTCCTGCCATTATCCTCATCTGTTTTTTTTGTCTCTGGTCACATTGGGGTAGGAACTATCTTTTCATTATGTATAGACAGTGCTTAGTACATTGGAGCCCTAGGTTCTACCACCATTCAAATTAATAACTTGCCTCGTAAATATATTAAATTGTATTAATAGTCATGCAGGAAAAAAGAACTAATTAGTTGGTATCATTTTTTTTTAAAATCTGGGCATTATTCCAGACTTCCTGCATCCTGCATTTCTAGCACAGTTGTGCTTCTGGGTTTCTGTTCAAAATTATTTCCTCTTTTTTTCATTATGACTGGGATAAATATTAGCCAGGGTAACCATAATAAATGTATTTTAATAATGATAAAACTCTCTCAGATAGAATTTGTCACTGATTGTCAGAACTCTTGAGAAGAGTAACAAACCCAGTAAATAAAGTAATGTGTAACATTATCATTGACGGAACATTTCTTACCATTAAGCCTTCAAACTCTTATTCAGCTGTCAACCCATGGGCACTTTCTGGAGCCAAATTCTCTCATGCTGTGCACTGCCTGCAGCTCGCCTGAAGCTCAACTTTGACTAAAAGTGTTGATTTCACTTCTTTTAGCCTTGTTCTCATTTAGCATTAAAACCTGCGTAAAGTCTGCCTTTTATTCTGTAAAGTACACATGCATGTGTCATCCCTCTCACACTTCTGTTGTGAAGTTAAGGCGCTCAAAAGATATGCTAGTAATCTTAATAAATAATTGATTAGAAAGGAGTCTGGCAGTGTTAATTGTGAGGTGCAGCTGAGTGAATGTCAAAACAAAAGCTCTTCTGAATGTTTCCGAATACCTTGTAAAGTCTTTAGCACTGAGCAACAGGGTCAGTGCACTGAAGTGGAATTTAAAGGAGGTTCTTGAATGTAATGGATTTTGACTTGCTTTTGTCATGTGCCTCAATGCATCATTGATTGAGCACTCATTTATTAAATCAGCTGTATTTTTTGCTGTTTGTCAGACCATAGACGTTTATTGGAGCAGGTTTTTTTAAGCACAGGTTACTTGTCTTAATAACTCAGATATAATTAGTTGGATTTAAAAAAAAGATGATTGATTTTCATGTATAAAGACAGATGTGAAGAAGCTCATAAAGAAACATTTTGGGAGTATTTTATTGTTATCATATACGGGGGGGGAAGAACAGGGTTACTGATCATTCAAGTCTTTAAAAGTACTGGAATACTGATAATTCAAGTGTTTAAAAGATACCTTTAAATTGAGCTCTAAACAAATGCTTAAAAATTGTTTCATTTGGAAGGGTCTAAATGTGTGCATTGAAGGAGTAGCTCATAGTAACCAGTGTTCAGTGAGTTCCTTAGAAATGAGCATATAGGAAATCTGAGTGCTAAAGAAACAAGTATGGTACACTGTAGATTTCTCAGGTGCTGTTCTCTGATTAGTGGAAAGGCTAATCACCTGCAGTATGCTGGAATTGCGTTGGTGCTATGTATATCTGATTAGAGCATTGACAGCAGGGCAGAAGAAAGAAGACCTTGACAATGTGCCAAAATATCCCTTTAGGTAAGCAGATGTTATTACCCTTGGAAGGAAAAGTCACTTCTCCAGAATGGTTATTGCTGATTGTGATAAGTACTCTACAGATGGGCTATCAACTTCTGAGAAATGTACATATGCAGTATTTAATATGGCAATTACTTGTCAAATCTGGAAATGTTCATCTTAATGCTCTATACTTGTTGGATAAATGGCTAAGTCAGCTGTTTGCAAATCATCATCACAGCTCCCGATCTGAGGAAACAGATTGAAGACAAGCTCAAATTTGATTTTTCAATATTGCTATTGGTAATGAGAATTGGGGGAGTTTCCTGATCTGAACAATAAACAAGAGTTCCTTACAGGCATGGAGAGGGGAAAAAATCATGACAAAAAAAGTGAGGTGTTTTGATGTCTTGCTGGATATTGCACAAAATAACGTCCATGTGTGGAGGACCATTGGAATTTGGACCAGTGGAGCATTCTTTCTTTTATCAGCAAAATCCTGGATAATGGCTTTTTAGAGGAGACTGATTGATTTTGAGGAGTGAGGAAAGAAGAGGAATGCTGAAAGAAATAAGCTGGAGGACGATGGGGAGGAAAGGGAAGAAACTAACATGTTGAGACAGGAATTTTAAAAATGTCAGCGGTAATGTTTTGTTTGCACCATAAATCACTAGATATGAATAGGCAAAATTCAAAAAATGTGAGTGGACTAATCTTTAGTTCAGATCCTTATTACTAAAGCCACGTATCTATTAAGGACCTTTCTGCAAAGTGCTGAGTGCTTTCAATTCCCCTTTGTCTGTAGGAGTTGAAGATGCTCAGTACCAACCAGTGTTGGGCCCATTAAGGGCAAGAATTCTTAAATTACTGAAGACGTGAAACTGAATTAAATGGTAGGCCATTCTCTTCTGTTGCAGTTAATTAAAATACTGAAGTTAAATCTTAACTATGATTGTGAAGGTGTGTGTGTATGTATATATACTTTTACTAATACCTTTTTGATAAATACATTCTGTTTTATCACCCATAAACTGCAGTGACACCTGCTGTAGTTGTGAAATCCACACTGGACAGCTTGCTCTTAAACCCACTTGACAAGTAACTCATGATTTAAGCAGCTGGTTTTGCTTTTTAGGCTGTCAGACACAAGGGGACAGTTTTTTTTCTTCTCTTTCTGGCTCCAGGCTCTTCCAAAAGATAGTAGTCTGAATTTGAAACCAAACAGACTAAAGCTTCAGTCCACATGTTTACAGAGATTTTCCATGTACATTTTCTTGGTTTGAGTTCTTTTAAACTACAGCTATGAGAGAGAATAAAATAGTGCTTTACCTAGTAAAGAACAAAAATGTTCACTCAAGCAATTTTTTTCTCCCTGAAGTCAAACAACCAAAGCTTTTTATTACTGATTGCCTGAATTGTCTGTCTGATTTTTAGATAAAACAGTAAAGCAGATTTAATATTAAAATTAAAACAGGTTTAAATATAATACTTCAAAAATACCCCATGTTAACAATTTTTGCAGAGTTAAATTTTGTGGAATGATCAAGTAGGCTTCTAAAGATTATAAAACTCTCTGGGAGCTCATTCCACAGCATGCAACTTTGAAGGGGGACAGTTTTTTAATACTTCATGTAAAACAGTTAATAAAAATAAATTATGGTTGTCTTAAAATGCACACCAATTCACATCAGGGAAAAAAACCAGAAGAAACTGGAAACACTAAACTGTTTCTTTTTATCCACATACTGGTTTTCCTAATCTTCATATATAAGTAGGCTTATGATATATATCATGTCTGATCCACTTTGTTTTACTATAGAAAACAGCCTTAATTATGACATTGCATCTAAATAGGGTCTTTCATTTTAAGATCCTTGTGTTTAAAGAGTGCCTTTCATCCAAAGGGGATCCCAAAGCACTTTATAAAGTTTATATATTGTATAATAGTATTTTATATAAGTAGTATAGCAGTTAACTAGATTTCAAAAAAGTGATTTCAAAAAGTGTAATTATGTCTGTATGTATTTATAACAGCAATCACTTTTCTCATCACTGTCATCATGCAGTCATCTCTAGGGGAAATCATGACAACTGTTAAATAGTGTGCAGCAAAGTTTCAGAACTATTTAGAACACAAAGTGAAGAATAATACTGTGTCCCATTGAAATTACACCTTGAATAGTAAGAGGCAGGATATAGTTACCTACAGGAAACTAGAATTTGACCATATTGCTTGGATAGAAACCTCTGTCCTGGTAAAAAGTCCCATGGCACTTTTCACATGCAAGTAGCCAAGACCTGTTTTACATCTGATCTGACAGAGAGCACCAGCAGCAGCATAGTGGTCCCTAACACTGTGTTAGGACCATTAGTGCCACATACAGGGGGATTAAACCTGCCAGCTGTTGGATAAATATTAGTTATTAACAGCTAGTACTGAGTAAGACTGTTACATAATATTGGTAATTTTCAAAGTGGAAACAACCAGTAGGTGAAAGGTGATACTTGATTGTAATTAGGTCACACAACCTGATTTCTTTAATGTCAAATTAGTGCATTTGAAAGCTAGCCTACAAATAATTGTATATTATTTTGGAGTGTGCACAAACTTGTTACCATCTCTGAAAAATGTAGCCTCTAGGTAGATAAAAGGATGTGATTCATTCAGTGGATCCTGCAGCATTTACAGTCTGCTGTGTACCGGATCAAGTGGTTTATGAATAGTGAGGAACACAACGGTAGATGCAAGTAAATGCTCCTTTTGGTTAGAAAATCCTAGGAATCCTCACTAAAATTCAGCCTTGCCTTGAGTGCCTTAGGACATGCATCATACATCCAGCTAAGGGGAATTCATATAGTGCTAAGAATGTGTGTGCCACATGTCATTTGCTTCATTAATTATACTCACTCTCAATTAAGCTTGCAGGCAGAGCTTAATTGATTTGTATGCAGAGGGCTGTGGCTTTCGAAATGTAAGCACACAAATGATATCTCCAGGTAAGAGTTTCCAGAGCAGTATTGTCAGCAATTCAGCCTTACAGTGGTTCCCCAAGTATGGGGCTGGGGGCTGCAGGAAGGACTAAGAAGACATGTAGGCTAGAGCACGTATCACCTCAAGGAACAGGACAGAGGACTACTACCCTGAAAAAGGGAGGATAGAGTTCCCAGAGCACAGATCATTCCACTGCTTCCTTATTTTTGTGGGGTTTTTTAAAGAAAGGAAGCACCTCCTACAGTTCAAGACACCATCTTGACATTGGGAAGTTCTTATTAAAAAAGCTTTCTTGTGGGAGCTGTGGGGAAGTATTTTCTTTTTATATGCATCCACCCAGACATGCAGTCTCTCTGCTCTGCCTAAGCAGTCTCTCCTAGATCTAGGAATTCTTTTTCTTTTCAGGTTTCAGAGTAGCAGCCGTGTTAGTCTGTATCCACAAAAAGAAAAGGAGTACTTGTGGCACCTTAGAGACTAAATTTGTTAGTCTCTAAGGTGCCACAAGTACTCCTTTTGATTTTCAGTAACAAGTTTCCCCTCTGGAAATGTTTTCTTATGTTATTGAATCAAAGATCCAGGTTTCAGGGCAAACCACTTAAGCATAAGAACAGTATTCGTATCAGGTAGAGGAAATATCAGCTCCTCCTAATGGCAAGTTTGAGCAGCACAGTCAGGAAAGAAAATTGAAATTCAAAGCCAACCTCCTTGTAAGAGTTCTTCAGAGCTCAGTTCCCAGTGAGGGGAACGTGATGCATTTCTGGCTAAATCTCTGTGCTTTGACTGACTTGAACAAACTACAACACACTGTGTGTTTATACACCCTAATAGGATAGCCTAAATGACACATGGCTGAGGGACCACCTTTCTCCTTCTTTGATACCTCCATGCACCCTTTCAGTGGAAGTATTTGAGCTAACAGCCGCCAGGTTTAAAAGAGAAGGAGTGGGTGGCAGGGCATTGTAAATGAGTGTTTCGCTTCTGGAGCACACTTTTTTGGTATGACAGAGCGCCTGTTTGTTGGCTTTCAGTGTGTGCTGCAAGGTTCATCTGTTTTCTTGGTGAGATGGAGTGAGGAATATCAGACACTGCAGTGAGGGACAGGCTATTATATATAATGGGTTGACTGGATGGATGATCTATGTTT